AAACCGACTTGACGGCACTTAACAACAACAACAACAAAGAAATTTGATAACGGAAGCAAGTGTATATTGCTACCATTTGAGATGAACTTGATCTACACTTAATGGATGTAGTAGCTCAAAATATCAATCAAGAGGGAAGGACTCGTCACATCAAGGATCAAACCTATCCCCACAGTATACAGGGTTGATAGGGGCAGGCAACTTAGACATTGGCTACCTAAAATGGGGGTGGGGAGGTTTACAAAGCCACGAAGTGGCTTGAAAACACAAATTTTCAAGAGTGAGTTTAGTTTCAGAGTATGCAGGTGAAGGTAGAATCCCTACAGATTAGTTTTCATCTTATCTAGATGGGTCTGGTGAAACAAGATGGGGTTAGGATTCTTTTGATTCATTAGTGAGTAATTGTTATCATGACTAATTGTGGTTGTCACAACTGTAAAGGTGGTTTTGAAATATAAAGGTGGGAGTAGTTAATCTCATATTTCAGGAACAGAGGACCCTAGGACCATCAAGGGAGAAGAGCATGAACAGAATGTGGGAACCTATCCAGAGAAGCAAAGACACCAGAGATGGAGGCAGAGATGAGGACATGGAGGGATAGAGCAGCTGAGGACTCTAGACTCATGGAAAGAGAAAGGCTGTGTGCTGGCAGCCAGGAGGCAGGCTTGCAGAATGGGCCTGTTGGTTGTTTAAATTATTATATATTCTTGAGTGTTTTTGTGTACATCAAACAAACAAACAAAAACTAGAGGGAAAACAAACAAATACTGTTAACATGATGCACGGAGGGAATAGTAATCATTGCAATGAAACTAAATATAATAGGATGACTGCAAAACCAATGTTCTCCAATGTAAACTATCACTCAATTCAAACTAAAAGCTTTAAAAAAGAAAAAAAAAAGATATACAGCCTTGGAGTTCTGGTGTGGCACTGTAGGATAAGCACTGGACTGCAAAGTTGGTTTGACCTGAAAGGCCGGCAGTTCAAACTCACCAGCTGCTCCTTGGAAACCCTATAAGAGTTGCTATGAGTCAGAATTGACCCAATGGCATTTAACAACAACAACGATGGGGATTACAGATTGGTAACAAATAAATGTCAAAATATATAAAAACAAATTGTAATAAGTGCTATGAAAGGAAATAAACAAAGTGCTAACATAGAGATGGGGGCTGGGAAACACAATTTTGTATTAGGTGGTCAGTCAGGGACATTGTCTCTCAGGTGACTAGATTAAGTAAAAGCCTGAAGACCAGATAGAGTTCAGCATGTGAAGGGGAAGTGGAAGAGCACTCTGGGGAGAGGAAACAGTGAGTATGTGGTGCTGAGAGGAGAAGACCTGGTGTGTTTGAAGAGCAGAGCGGAGACAAGAGGAGCTGGTATAAAGTGAGCAGCTGCCCAGAAGGGCCAGGTCAGGTATCATGTAGCACTCCAGAAAAGGGCCCTCAGGCAGAAAGCCCACCTTTCTTGTGTTTGCTTTTTTCAGGATCACCAGACTTTCATGGTCTATTGCCTGATACCTAAAAATAGTGCCTCATATAGTATGCAAAATTTTATAGTTGTGCATGATCTAGTCTGTGATGGCTAGTAGTGGATGTCTAATTCATTGTCTAAAAAAGCCTGTCCACATTTGCTGTGTGTTGCCTGGGCTAGAGAAAAGGGAAAGAAGAAGACCAACGTTGCTGTAGGATCAGCATTGGACTGCATATCATAAGGTCAGCAGTTCAAATCCACCAGCTGCTCCTTGGAAACCCTGTGTAGGGTCGTTAAGAGTGAGAAGCAACTGCAAGGCACTTAAAAACCATAATTACAGAGTGAGATGGTGGTGACTGGGATTAGGGTTTCTGTGGAGAAGAGGGATTTCAGATACGATGTCAGGACCCACTCTTAATTGGACCCACATATTTTATTCAAATAACAATGATCTGTAATTTATTTATTTTTATGCTAATGGAAGCTACTCTACATCCATAGGAGAGATTTATGCTCATATGGGTCCTGAAGGCTACATATCTGAACATGTTTAGGAATTCTTACAAAGTAAGAGAAATCTATTCTACAAATGTCTTTTAAATGTAGAGATGGTTATGAATGTGAAATCAAACCAGAACGACGACATTAATGTTAACCATAATGATAACTTTTATAGACATTTAAAGAAATACTTATTTGGCAATTTTCTTCTGATATTTGGAACTCAGTAGTCACTCCCCCTCTCACCACCATCCTCTCAAATCTCGAACATTTCTAGGTCTCCAAGGCACTAGGTCAGGATGATCATGGTCCTAAGTGATATTATACTGAGTCTTTATTAAATTGAGGACGTACAAATAGAAACCCAATATTCTGTACAGGGAAAAGTAGGGAGCATGTTAATCAGATGGTCTTTTGGGAGTCTATGCTGACTTAAAGATAATGAAGGATCCTGTCATTCTGAATACCTCAGCCATACTTTGATAGAACTTAGCTAGGAGACTGGCTGTCTAAGTTGAACTGCCTTGAAAAACCGTGGAGAGGTATTACTCCAGGTTGCCAAGGATGTGGATTCTACATATTTAATTTGATGATTAAAACCTGTGTGATGCTAATATAGGATAAGCATTCAATCTTAAAGTTGGTTTGAACCACAAGGTCTTTGGTTTAAACTTACTCGCCACTTCTTGGAAACCGTACATAGAGCTGCTTGCTATGAGTTGGAAGGACTCAAGGGCACTTAACAACAATAATCTCATTTTGTTTTTACCTATCTAGCATATTAAAGTTTTTGGGGGACAGTTGCTATTGTTCTT